ATTTTGACAGGCAGTCGTTACAGGCCGAAAAATTGACTTCCTCCCCCCCCCCTCCTCCCTCTTCCCTCTTCCCTCTTTCCCCTTGCCTTTACCTACCACGGACCTGAAACACCCATTTTCTGTGTCCGGTTTGTAAACCAGCAGTTTCCTTGAAATTACCCAATTTATAAAATAGAAATATATATTAAAACCTCTAAATTCAAACTCACCAAGCTTTTCAAGGTTTTAACACTGCACAGTGATGGCTTCTAAAAATATGTACACATTTTCAAAATTGTCTTTATACAGCAGATTAAAACAAAAATTCAGTAAAAGATGGGGAGGGGACAGAGGATTGAAGAAGAAAAAGGAAAGAAAAAAAAGAAAAAAATGTAAATAAAGATTGAAAGAAAAATAAAGTAAAGAATAGAGGGGGGGTTAGGAATGAAGGATAATGAAGGGAGAAGGTGGTTAGGAATGGAGGATACTGAAGGGAGAAGGTGGTTAGGAATGGAGGATAATGAAGGGAGAAGGTGGTTAGGAATGGAGGATAATGAACACTCCTGTATGCCGGTCCATTAGCGCCTGATCCAATCTGGGTTCAATCATGTGTTTGGTGTCTATTCTGAACCAATAGAAATAGTATGGCGGTAACATCTATATTTCTATCTATCTCATTATCCAAAAAGAGTTATTAAATCCTTCAATCGGCGCTATCAGTAAATGGAAATATTTACTTCTACTGAAACTATAGTGAAGGGAGAAGGTGGTTAGAAATGAAGGATAATGACGAGAGAAGGTGGTTAGGAATAAAGGATAATGAAGAGAGAAGGTGATTAGGAATGAAGGATAATGAAGGGAGAAGGTGGTTAGGAATGAAGGATAATAAAGGGAGAAGGAGGTTAGGAATGAAGGATAATTAAGGGAGAAGGTGGTTAGGAATAAAGGATAATGAAGAGAGAAGGTGGTTAGGAATAAAGGATAATGAAGGGAGAAGGTGGTTAGGAATAAAGGATAATGAAGGGAAGTTAGGAATAAAGGATAATGAAGAGAGAAGGTGGTTAGGAATAAAGGATATTGAAGAGAGAAGGTGGTTAGGAATAAAGGATAATGAAGGGAGAAGGTGGTTAGGAATAAAGGATAATGAAGAGAGAAGGTGGTTAGAAATAAAGGATAATGAAGGGAGAAGGTGGTTAGGAATAAAGAATAATGAAGAGAGAAGGTGGTTAGGAATAAAGGATAATGAAGAGAGAAGGTAATTAGGAATAAAGAATAATGATGAGAGAAGGTGGTTCGGAATAAAGAATAATGAAGGGAGCAGGTGGTTAGGAATAAAGGATAATGAAGAGAGAAGGTAATTAGGAAAAAAGGATAATGATGAGAGAAGGTGGTTAGGAATAAAGAATAATGAAGAGAGAAGGTGGTTAGGAATAAAGGATAATGAAGGGAGAAAGTGGTTAGGAATAAAGGATAATAAAGAGAGAAGATGGTTAGGAATAAAGGATAACGAAGGGAGAAGGTGGTTAGGAATAAAGGATAATGAAGGGAGAAGGTGGTTAGGAATAAAGGATAATGAAAGGAGAAGGTGGTTAGGAATAAAGGAAAATGAAGAGAGAAGGTGGTTAGGAATAAAGGATAATGAAGAGAGAAGGTGGTTAGGAATAAAGGATAATGAAGGGAGAAGGTGGTTAGGAATAAAGGATAATGAAAAGAGAAGGTGGTTAGGAATAAAGGAAAATGAAGAGAGAAGGTGGTTAGGAATAAAGGATAATGAAGAGAGAAGGTGGTTAGGAATAAAGGATAATGAAGAGGGTAGATGGTTAGGAATAAAGAATAATGAAGAGAGAATGTGGTTAGGAATAAAGAATAATGAAGAGAGAAGGTAGTTAGGAATAAAGGATCATGAAGAGAGAAGATGGTTAGGAATAAAGGATAACAAAGGGAGAAGGTTGTTAAGAATGAAGGAAAATGAAGAGAGAAGGTGGTTAGGAATAAAGGATAATGAGGGGAGATGGTGGTTAGGAATAAAGGATAATGAAGGGAGAAGGTGGTTAGGAATAAAGGATAATGAAGAGAGAAGGTGGTTAGGAATAAAGGAAAATGAAGAGAGAAGGTGGTTAGGAATAAAGGATAATGAAGAGATAAGGTGGTTAGGAATAAAGGATAATGAAGAGGGAAGATGGTTAGGAATAAAGAATAATGAAGAGAGAAGGTGGTTAAGAATAAAGGATAATGAAGGGAGAAGGTGGTTAGGAATAAAGGATAATGAAGGGAGAAGGTGGTTAGGAATAAAGGATAATGAAG